TGGTAAACATGTAATCAAACGATCACATGCATATTGATTTTCTTGCATTTGTAACAAAAAAAAAATAATTAATTTGCATGTGATGTGATTGTCAATATTTGGAAACCAAAAAAATGAATATGCATGTGATGTGATCGTCACTGTAAATAATGATTTACAATTAGTTTTAATAACGTAGAATCAGAGTATTTTTTTAATAAAAACAATTTATAGATTAAATAATTAACTGATATTGGGTTGAGTATCAACGAATAAACTCAGAAATTGCTAGAATCCTTTATCCATTTGTTATGACTCTTCTTTGATATTTGGTTTCAATGTTATATTGCCTTCCAAAACTTGTTCTAGTTTCAGATTTAAGTCGTCGAATGTGTATGACTAGGAAAATGTGTAAGTCGTGGATCCTTTATCGTTTGCACTTCGGTTTGAAGTTATCAATAAATTCACCAGATGAAAAAAAAAAAAAAAACTAATTAACCAGCCATACCACATAAAAGAAAAACACAATTTTTCTACAAGAAATCAATTTTTAATGAGCTGTATATCAACTCACAAGTTGCAACCCGTGCATCATTAATATTGTTCACGTATTTGTTTTCCTTTTGGTAGAAGAATACGGTATGTGTTATAATTCGTGAAAATACGATTTTTTTTTTTAAATTACTTCAAGCCGAAGCTGTAAGAACATTATTCTTAATTTCATGATATATTTGGTTTATGTCACTATTACTCTAAAAATAATAATAGCTCTAACAAATTATACTAATTTGGTTATACAAATCATGTTCTTAACCCGTTTGTTACGACTGGCTATTCTTACCGAATATATCATCTATATTTAATCATCGGATAGAAATCTATCGATTAAAAAAAAGTGTAATAGTCCATTAAATTTGATATAGTCGTATCATTTAGTGGTATATTACTTTGTTTTTCCAATGTCATCAATTGATTTTTATTAGATAGACATATTAGATATTATGAAATTTACATGGCAGTTTCATATTTAGGGGTTAACGTGGCTTGTAATTCATATAATGTGATTCATAAACCAATTTGTAAAAATTAGTTGTGCCCGTGCAAAAAAAAAGGAAGGTGTACATGTGTTATGTGTCAACGTTGGTACGGCTTTGAAGGATCCAAAAGGTCAACTTTAGTTGAGATAGTGATAACTTGTTTTGGACTTTCTTTGATGCCATACAATATTTCTTGAAATCAATATTGAATGAAAAATAATTTTCGATGTCACAATATTTGCAGTTTAAAGGTTATATGTTTCTTAATGAAACCCTGAAAAATGGAAATAGAAATCTATATATGTATAGGCTTTACATATTTAATCTCTTTTTAACCTAACTACAACATTGTAGTTAGGTTAGTATAACTAATTTCATTTCTCACCTACATGCTCAAAGTGATGACAACGATTAGTATAAGTATTTTTTAGATTAAACTAACTAAAAATGTATGTGCGTACCTACTTGTGTTCTTAATTTTAAAAGGACAACATATATAACTAGACATTATTAGCATTAATTAATTGGGTGGCACATGCATATATACAAATGGTATAACATCTGAGAATAATAATTGGATCTCTAGTTAAAATTTAGTAGCATGATGGGACGTATTTTAGTTTAATATCTTTTTCAATAACTTTTGACTTATTTTATTGCGATCTTGTGAATAAAAGGGGAAAAGGTATACTTTAGTTTAATTACCATCAATAATTGTAAGTCATGTGAAACCCATCCATCTAATATTTCCTCACTTGCCAAAGGAGAATATAATTTTTTGTATCTATTAAAAGTAATTGTTTATAAGCATATACACGTATAGAGGTAAAAATATAACATCACAAGATTTTTTGTATTTACGAAGAATTTTTGTTTACGAAGAATGTTGAAGGAAAAAAAATAATATATATTAACATTAAGTAATGCTATACAATATAGTAAAATCGTAATAAGCAAAATGATAAAAAAAATTTGTTGGTTTTCTCATATCAAATATATACACTTACTACAATGGTGATTTTATAAAATCATATGACACGTAAAACGATATTAAATTACCAAATCTAAATGAGGTTCTTGTAGTTCAACCAACACAATCACACGTACTAAGTCAATGATTTTTGTGGACAGCTATATTGTCTATGTATTACTATTACATACGCAAACACCATAGCTCCATCTATATATATACCACACATACACACAAAGAGCTATATATATAGAGCGTAAGACAATAACAACAATTCTATTCTTGTATACTCTTATTACAAAACAAAACAAAAAAATAAAGAGAGAGAAAACCAATTAGCTCTCTCTTTGAATATGTCGAACAAGGTTCACGTAGGGAGCATTGAGATGGATGAAGGTTTGAGAAAACCAAAGTGGAAAGTTCTAGAACCTTCTGAGAAGATTAAGAAGATTCCGAAAAGGCTTTGGGATGTCGGAAAACAAGATCCGAGGAGGGTAATACATGCCCTTAAAGTAGGTCTCTCGTTAACACTTGTTTCTTTGTTATACCTCATGGAACCTCTCTTCAAAGGCATTGGAAGTAATGCCATTTGGGCCGTCATGACCGTTGTGGTCGTCCTCGAGTTCTCTGCTGGTAAATTCTCTAAACATATATATACAATTAGTAATGTAATTAGCGTTATTACTTGAGTTAATTCGTCATAATGATAATATTGATTTCAAATCGAGTTTGCAAGAGTGTATATATAGCTAATGAAATACAAATGATTAAAAAAATTAACATGTGTTTACTTTCTTGATTCTTTAGGTGCAACGCTATGCAAAGGGCTTAATAGAGGATTAGGGACACTAATCGCGGGATCTTTGGCATTTTTTATTGAGTTTGTAGCTAATGATTCCGGAAAAGTTCTTCGAGCTATCTTCATTGGCACTGCCGTTTTTATCATTGGTATGTATTTTTTTCTTGTTATCTAAATTAAAGTCTCTAACCGTAAACTAATCTCTAGGGTTATCTGTATGTAAGAATCTAACAATAAAACTACTAATTTGTGTTCTCAGGAGCGGCTGCAACTTATATAAGATTCATACCATACATAAAGAAGAATTATGATTATGGTGTTGTGATATTTCTCTTGACATTCAATCTTATAACGGTTTCGAGCTATCGAGTAGATAGTGTGATAAGCATAGCACACGATAGATTCTATACTATAGCCATTGGTTGCGGAATTTGTCTTTTCATGAGCCTTTTGGTTTTTCCGATTTGGTCCGGTGAAGATCTCCACAAGACTACCGTCGCTAAACTTCAAGGCCTCTCCAGCTCTATAGAAGGTAACATATACTACTAACTTGACAATTCTCAAAAGTTCACATTTATGTTTTTCTTACGTCTGAATTAATTTGACTTAAGTATAAAAATGTTTATATAGTTTTTTTAAATTTTCAAAAATACCACAAAATTTACGGTTTTTGCAAAGTTGTCGTATTTTTAAAATAAAGTTTTAGTTAAGTAGTATTTAGAATATTTCTCAGTTACCTATCATGAGATCTTCTAAAATATAACATAATTTACATTGTTATAATACTTTTTTGTGTTAATTTGTACGTTTTAGCATGTGTGAGTGAGTACTTTGAGGAGAAAGAAAAAGAAACATCAGATTTAAAAGATAGAATCTATGAAGGGTATCAAGCTGTTTTGGATTCCAAATCCACCGATGAAACTCTTGTAAGTTTTTTTTTTTATAATTCTTTTCTATGCAAGATTAATTATTTTAAAAAACATAGATAAGTTTATGAAATAAGAAAATATGTAACAGGCATTATATGCAAATTGGGAGCCAAGACACACGAGACGATGTCATAGATTTCCATGTCAACAATATGTTAAAGTTGGAGCTGTTCTTCGTCAATTTGGTTACACTGTTGTTGCTCTTCATGGTTGCTTACAAACTGAGATTCAAGTAAGTTTAATTATATCAACATTAAATTACTTCCGTTTGATAAAAGTGTTACTAAAAGAAAAAAAATATTCCATTTCTTAAGAACTATCGCTTTATATTTTCAATGCAAAATTTTAAACTCTTTGTTTATACTATTTTGGGTTATTAAATGAAAGAACAAACTTATATATAAATGTATTAATAAAGAGTATATACTAGAAACTTCAATATAACATGCATACAAAATCTTTAAACAACACCCATAATTAAACATAATTCGTAGTTAATAATGTATATTTGCAAGTAAAATTAAATTAATCTTCTACGTATTTGTTTGTTTTTTCAAGACTCCAAGATCGGTTCGCGCTCTATTCAAGGATCCTTGTGTAAGATTAGCCGGAGAAGTATGCAAAGCATTGTCGGAACTCGCAGATAGCATCTCGAACCACCGTCACTGTTCACCGGAAATTCTCTCCGATCATCTCCACGTGGCACTCCAAGACCTTAACTCCGCGATCAAGTCTCAGCCTAAACTCTTCCTTGGCTCCAATCTCCATCGCCACCACAACAACAATAAACACCAAAACGGCACCGTTTTGCAACACAACGATAACAAACACCTAAACGGCTCCGTTTCGCAACGAAGCAACAGTAATAGTGGAAAAGACTTAAACGGCAACGTTTCGTTTCAAAATACCGAACCCCGTTCGCGCCAAGGCCAAAACGGCGCCGTTTCGCTCTCGAGCTTTAGGACTGACACTTCAGCTTTAATGGAATACCGAAGATCTTTCAAGAACAATAATAATAGCTCGGAGATGTCATCAACGGCTGGAGAGAGGAGAATGTTACGACCACAATTGAGTAAAATCGCGGTGTTGACTAGCCTCGAGTTCTCTGAGGCTTTGCCTTTCGCGGCGTTTGCTTCATTGCTGGTGGAAATGGTAGCGAGGCTTGATAATGTGATCGAGGAAGTGGAAGAATTAGGAAGGATCGCATGTTTTAAGGAGTATGATAACAAGCGAGATCCAATGGCTGACGATTTACGATGCGGAAAACCGGCGAATGTTTCGATTAGTGTTAGTGCTGCGGAATGAATTAACGAACATCAAGAAGTAAATTTGGTTCTTTTTTTTGGGATTTAGGTGTATATTAGAAGCGACGACGATTAAATTAAACCGATCGGAATAAGGGATCGATAATGCGATTCAATTTGGTTCGGTATGAATTCACCCTTTTACGATAATGGGAATGAGGATTCATGAATCGATCGTTTTTCGTGTCTACGTTTTTAGAATTCTCTTATAAGATTTTCAATTGTCTTTCGTTTGCCTACAACTATTTTTTGGTTAATAATAAATTGTTATGCTTTGTTAAGGGCCTTAAGGCCGGTATCCATTTTCAAATTTCTTTCTTACGCTTCTGATAGAAAAACAATATAAT